CCTCTCTCATCTTTTTAAGTGGGAGAACTTGCACAATTGGTGGCTGACTAAATACTTTTTTGCCCCACTGTATATAGCGTGATGTTTATTTTCTCATGTTTAACCTATTCAGTACTGGCTTGGCTATTTGATTAAACAGGATGACTTTGTATCACCTGTAAACTGAATATTTTTCTCACTGATTGGCTTCCTATTACCAATATCCAGACTGACTTGAATGCACAGAGGCATATGACCCATGGTCAAGATATAGAGCTGACAACTTTTGAAACAATGTTTAATATTTAGACAGGTCCTGCTACAAGATTCTAGGGATGTAAGGGTAAAAGGTTGAATGGAGGGAGGTCCCAGAGATTTGGTGATGAAACCCAGGAAAAAAGCCATCTATTCCAATAAGTGATATATTAAACATTAGAGCTAAGATGACGAGCAAACTGCATTGCCTTGTTCTTTCCGGGCAGCTGGCTCCAAAATATATGATAGAGGAAAGAACTCAAGACTGATTTTTTTAAGTGATCTGCTTGGAATCCTGTTAAGATGCTAGAAATACCACTTTGTCTGACGTATTGCAATTAAGGAATAAGTGTATTTCAGTTTCTTATCCAGTCATTAATGCTTCTGGGCTATTCATTCTAGTCTGATTTGATGGGAAATATGAGTATAGGGAGATTCAGCAAGTGTTTGGCATTGTTAATAATGCTCTTGCCTTAGATAATAAGGGTACTGAATATTTTTACAGTTAAGAAAATGAAAGAGGACACTCGTTTTTTAAACTATAATTTTTAAAGAGGGACCAGTAGAGGAAATGGCACATTTAAGTAGGTAACTGCAGAGGATGTCATTTTGTTCCTGTGGAAAAAGTCATTGACTGGTTTTAAACTGCATTTGTTTTGATCTTTTGTTATAGTCTCTTTGTAATGTTCCTTCCGGGACTGGGCATGTTAAATCACTGTTCTGAACATGTCAGCTGTTACCACTGATCTAATAATGAATGGCATTAATTGTTGCAGTTTATCTTTTTATTATGCACATGTACAGTTTTGCAGTGAGAAATGGATTTGGGGGTAGAGAGTTTGGAACTTTTTTTAAAAAAAATTATATTTCAGATTTGTCACCACCCATCTCACTTTTTAACAGAGGTTTGCACAAAAAATATTGATCTTGAGACATATTTTGTGTGTGCGTGTGCTTTGTGAAGAAGCTATTTTATAGCAAATTAGCAATTTTTGGGACTAATAAATCTTAGGACAAGCAGTGATAAATGTTGGGTAGTGTCTAAAGAAATCTTGAGAAAAGTGGGTGGCACTTCAGCCTATGCATTGAGAATTTTCTGGTTTTCATTGCATCTCCTCCCTAGATATAGCCATTGTGATTAAAGAATTGGAAAGTCCTCTGATTCATTCATAAGGAATAGTGGGCTATGTAAGGAAAAAAAATGCATTCACAGTCTTGCTGCTGGATACATGACCCTGGTTTTTATCAATTTCTCTGAGACACAGGGACAGTGGTTTAATGTATGTAGATCTACCAACCAGCAAGTTAAGATTTTCAGTTTCCTCAAATATTTTCAGTTCATCTAGTCAAAACTGTCAAATAGCTTGGTCTTCTGTTGCACAGTCCCTGGGGCCAAGATGCCTGGCTTGGTTCTATATATATTTTAAAAGCTGTTGTTTTATTGACTGAACCCTGCACTGAGACTGATGAAGTTGCTATGGCAAGAAATATTTTAATGAAGAAGAAAATGGACAGCTGCTTCAAGTGGTTCAAAGGACATTGGGGCTGCTCTTCTTTGAACAGACATTTCCTGTTTCTTCACACAGCAAATTTGCTTCTGAAAAACTTTGTGATTAGGGTTTGTTGATTGAAACAAACATACAAAAAGATTCAAATTCCACACACCATTGATCTTGCCCTTAAACATCTCTTTTCAGCCTGAGCATAGTCCACAAATTTAGAAGCCTGTTTCTATTATGGGGTAAACTTCAGAAAAGTTTCAATAAACTAAAATATATTGTGTGCAATGTTTTTTTTGCCATGGCATATCTAAAACATAGCTATGTGGGATTTATGAAACAAAGCCTGAATATGCTAACAATTCAGCTGTTAATGATCTATTTACAGTGGCTGCTTTACACATTTTTAATGTAGCTATTAATTTTAGCTCGTTTCCGTTACTGCCTAGGTTTTGTGGTCTCTGGAACATGGCTACTGGATTTCTGAAGAACCCTTTGAACTGTCAGTGGATTTCCCTGCAGCTCCTGTAAGTAATAAAGATTTTGCTTTTAACTTTATCATAGAATATGTTAATGATCTGGCTGTCATACATCAAAGTATATGCAATGGAGAATATTGATAGGGAACTGTATCTCCCTCAACCGGTCCCAGATGAATGTTCCTCAAAAGATGTGCACCCTTTCAATCTTTTAATCAGTAGCTTCTCTTTCAACTAGAGTAAACAGAAGCAGATCTTCCTAAGGTGTCCAAAATACTGAGAAACTGTAATTAACAGGTATTGTTTTAACAGAAAGGAACAATAAAGAACAATAGTCCAATTTTCTTATACATTATACTGAGTTCACATACAGAGTTCTGTAAATTGCAAGAATATTTTGAGCTTTAAAATACTGATACAAACATCTGATATGTAAGGTATAAAAATAGTGGTCTGTTATATACTCAGTATTGGATTTTTAAAAAGTCATGAAAATATAGAAATATTTTTATACAGCCTTATTAAATATACTGATATGTGTTACCAAATATCCTTGAATGTGTGATTACTAAAGGCAAGAATCTGGATATAGGCATTAATTACAAAATATTATTTACATAATTACAAGGAACAGCATGAAATAAGAATAAGATACGGTATAGTTTACAAAGCAGTGCTCTTTTTAAGGTAGCCATTGGAGTTCAATGTTAAGATATAAAGTAACATTTAAGGCTGAAGAAATTTTAGATAATCTAGATATATTTCACAGTTCCAGTTATGCACAAACTTCATAAATGTTCATGAAAACAAAGTTCTTAAGCTTCTGCAGAATCCTTCTAATATTCTCTTTTTAAAATCATTATTGCATTAGTTATTTCTTCTTGCATGACTCTGAACTGTGATGAAATTCAGCAATGCTGAAATCAGGACTAGAAACACTGATTCCTGTAGGATGCATATGTAAATTGTCCAGACAGGAAAATTGGTCATGGAGCATCCATGGTTTTACATACTTCTCAAATAAAGTATGTTAAAATTATTTCAACATAATTTTCCAACATAAAAGTATGAACTTTTTTAGAAATCTGATGGACGGATCATCATAGTTGTGGCTTTGAGAGAATAGCCTGCTCCTTTCCAGTAGTACCATTTAATGCCTTTAAATTTGTTTGTGTTCTGTCGCAGTGGATAGTATAGACCATTTAGATTGGAAGGCCCGCATGCATCAAACCACCATCCTGTATAAAAATAAAAGGAACCATGAAAGGGGAATAGATTCACTCTATTTTTATATCGTAAATTAGACATACAACTTCGTTTTTAAAGCAGTTAATTAGAATATTCACACATAATCGACATATTTTCAATATTTTCACCTCACGCTTCAACCTAAGGTTCAACTTCCAAATGCTAATTCAGAGCACCCTTCTGACAGTAACTCCTTTAGAGCGCTAAACAGGAAATCCCTCATGAAAGAGGCAACTCTCAAAGCCAGTGTTTGGTATTCTGGAAGCCACCTTGATCCTTGTTTACCACTTATGCCTCAAATGAGCTACATTGGATGGGCACAATGCCCCATTGTGTGTGAGCACTGAGCTGATTCAGCAGAGTGGATGTTTACAGGCCCCCAAAGTTGAACATTCTTTAAAACATAATATGTCTATCATTAGTAGGGGTCCAAATTAAATCTGCAGTGATTCCATCTATGGCCTAAATCCCAGAGAAAGACAGTTCTGTGAAAATCATTAGGACAAATCAATTATCACTAGTTTCTTTCTTTTATAAATATGTGTGTGAGTGTATATATATATAAATATTACTCTCTTGAATTTTTTTTCAAAGAAGCTTATAATAAAATGTAAAAAAATACTTTCAAAGCTCAGGAAAAAAGCAATGTTATCTCTATAAATATCATGAACATTTAAAGAAAAATGAAACATTTCATTAAAGTTTCAAAGTGGAGGGCAATAAAAAAAACCCTCCTATAGGAAGGTGTTCTAGAATTGGGTGCCATTCCCACAACCCATTAAGGATTGTTTCCCTCAGTCAAGAAGGGACAACCAGAAGATGACAGATACTTAGACACCCCTTATGAAATGTCAGTGGATCATATTGCTTTACCTATTTGTTTGGGCAACCTGGAAGCCTGCAACTGACACAAAGTTCTCAGAGTTGCATATATCCTTCATAATGAGGAATGGTGGTAATTCAGTCTGTCGTTTTTCTCTTTTTCTTTTTTGGTGCCTTTGAGTCAGTGTTGACTCCTGGCAACTGCCTGGACGAGTCCCTGCAGTTTTCTTGCCAAGGTTTTTTCAGAAGTGGTTTGCCATGGCCTCCTTCCCAGGGCTGAGAGTGATTGCCCCAAGGTCACCCAGCTGGCTTTGTGCCTAAGACAGGACTAGAACTCATGGTCTCCCAGTTTCTAGCCTGGTACCTTAACCACTACACCAAACTAGATAGTTGATTTGTATACAGTAGTTCCTGGATAATATAAAAAATCTACATTAAAAATTATTAGAAGAAAAAAATGCTCTGTCATATTAGAGTTATAGTCTGTTGTTGTTGTTGTTGTTGTTATCCATAATAGCACCCTCTACAGTTTTATAAATATAGCTTAGTTCCTTGTTAAAATATAAAATGCAATCTTCTAGATTAGATCAAATGCCTATCTACCCCAGCATCCTGTTTCCCATTGCAGTCAACCAAACTGCTATGGGAAGCTCACCGGCCAAATTTTTTTATTTTCATTTTTACAAAGCTATATGCCACCCACTCCCAAATTATTCTGTAAGGATTCACAGTATAAACACACAAACATTAGAAAGTATGTGTGCAATTTTTTTTTAAATAACCACCCAAACTAAAAACTAAATGCCTTGGGTGAATAGATAGCTCTTCAGAGTCCTTTTAAACTAATAAGAAGGGGACATCCCTCAATTCCAACAGCAACCTATTCCAAAATGAAAGCCTCACAGAGGAAAAACAGTATAACTATTGTGGTTCTCCAGCAACTACTATTCAGAGGTATACTGCTACTAATCTTTGAGGTACTACATACCCATCAGTAAATATATTTGGCTGTAACTCTTCAATAGAAATTCTGTGGAGTAAACATGGATAGAGGGCACCCTACAACTTCTGTACTTTCCTGGATTACATTGTTATTCTCACTTTTCCCAAGCAAATCTGTTTAATTTTTCATTGCATTTCGTTCAGTGGCTGATGTTGATGTTAATGCTAATGAAATAATGCCTTTGTGGGCTTTAATGGATCTCATTAAGGGGGTTAACTCATGGAGCCAGGGCCAGTGTGTTAATTCTGAAATCTTCCAAGCCTGATTAAATTCTCACCAATTTCCTGAACCATCTCTCTGTAATTTAGATGGCATTCTCAGAATGGTGTGAGTGATGGACGTGGGCACTTTGCCATCCTGAGTTTCCAGTTCATGGTCTCATGCTGTGATTATAGTCTTCCACTGGTACAAAAGGTGAAAAAAGCACTGACTGGACTATGCTTGCCTCCTCCTCTATCTTCTTCCTTTTAGATTTTCTCTGCTGTTCCAGAGAAGATACTGAAAAGAGACTTTTACAGTTACAATGTTTGGAGCTGGTCCAAACATAAAGTCTCCAGGTTGAGCTCAACTCCTGGTGTCTTCATGGTCACATCTGTGTAGTTTTCTTTGCATGGTACAGAAGTGGTTTGCAACTGCTTCTTCTAGGAAGTTTTTCAGCTTCCCAGTCTATCCTAAAGTCCTGGTATTCCCTGGTAGCCTCCCATCTAAGTACTAACCAGGCCTGTCCCTGCAACTTGCTAGTATAATATCCTGCTAGACTTGCTTTGGTTTATTTATACAACTCATTGTGATTTTTCAACTTTATTATAACAGCTGGCATAAACAAATTTATCTGTTTTTTACTTTATGGATAGATAAAGTGCCAATAGAAATAGGAAGAGTGTGAGAATAGGAAGAGAACAGAAAATGCTGCTCTTACCTCCTGTTAACATTTGTGAACATTTGCAGATGCATTTGTCGTTGTCTACATCCTTTGTGCTAAACCCATTTCCTGGTTGACTGATGCTGCTTATTTTGCCGGCTGTACCTGTAAGTCCTTTAAGGTTGATTCTGTAGAAAAGCAAATTGGGAAACAAATTTTTACAGGCTGAAGTAGTTGCAATGGATTTTCAGTAGAGAGGAAATATTTTCCAAGAAGTATCCTGTTCCCTTCTCCGGTTAACAACCTACGATTTGCCTTTTGGAGAGTATGCCAGGGACTTTTTGTCAACAGCATATGTTGTTCTGAAAAAGATTAATATGTTTGCTGCTGAATTGTTGAATTAGCTTTAAAATAACAAAAATAATAAATAGAGGTAGTAAGTCTTAATCAGTTGCTTATACTCCAGAAATCTGTATGTGAGAAGTGGCATGTACTATACATGAAAATACTTTGAAATCTTTATATAAGAAATTACTGATAAAGACTTTTATTATTCATTCTGGTTTGCTCCTCTTTATATAATGATACCAATCCTTTATCATTTTAGAATTCATACAGAGGTGAAAGCAAAGAAGAGTGGGTTGAATCAGTGACCCATGTTTTTTGGTTTTTCCACTTAGGGCCACTTGGGTTCAATATATACTTGGGAAGGGGGGGGTGTATGTGGGTGCGCGCGCACACACATATGACAACAAGTGGAATGGAGTGTTAAGGTGCTGGACTAGGAGCAGGGAGACTTGGATGCATTTCAGAAGGAAGTATATTTACATATGCATGCATAGAAATTATTTTTAATATTATAAAGGGATTGGGATAATAACCTCTTTTGTAATGGTTGTCTTTGTGAACATAAACTCTGTTATATAACTCAACTATTTCCAAATGAGGAAATAGTTGGGTTGCAGTAAAAATGATTTTGCTTCCCAGTCATAAAGGACCTCCAACGTCTGTATGGTATTGCAGTTAAAAGCTTAATAGAGTAATCCTAACCCTAAACTTGCTTGGAGTTGGAGGCAGGGGAGGGGGGAATTAAAGATAAAGATTCTTTGCAGGACAAAAGGTTTCTGTAATGACAATATTTTCTTTTCCTTTATTGATGCTATTCTCACCCCATTAGTTCCACTGGGGAAAGTGGGAATTACATATTCCACTTCTAGCGCCAACAGAGGGGAATTCTGATCAAATCAAATCTTTAGGCCTTCCTCGGTGAAGAAAAGGGATCTTGGGTCTATTTCTTTCTTGCACCAGCTTTGAGGCAGTCCCCTTTGGAGACTCATTTGTGAACTAGCTTCTGCCAATAGGACTCTTCTTGCTCATTGTGCTCCCAAATTATTCTCATTCCCTTTGGTTGGCATTCAAGGAGCTCAGGACTGCTTGTAAGTTATCTGCTCTCTTCCTAGATGATTTTGTAAGTAGATTTTGGTAATTTTTAATGATGCAAAACTAATAAACTGCTTTTTAAAAATAAACTGC